GCACCCTCAGGGTCATCCGACTTTTCCTCAAGAAGGCTGCTATCACCCGAGGGGCGTGAAGCCGGCACGCGTTCCGAGGGTGTCCCACGTGCTAGCGGGGTTGTCGGGTGTTTGGCGGCGAGGCGTTGCTTGAGCTGCTCTAGCTCAGCTTCCAGCTCAAGGCGGCGTTGCTAATCCTTGAGCCTCTTTTCCTCCGCCGCGTCCGCCTTATCGCGAGCGCGTTGCACGGCTGATTTTTTCGGCATCTCTCACCTCTACCTCCAGTACCAGCAGAGTATCTTTTAATTCGTCGACGCCAATGAGGACACAGGCTTCCCTCGTTAGGGGGGGAGGCCCAGGTCGCAGTAGTCTTTTCCCACTACTAAGGGCTGGCAGTTCTCTTCGTCGAGATTTAGAGAGGAGAGGGTCTCAGAAGAGAGAGACAAGAAAGAGAGTGCCGCCGAAGGGGCGAGGGAGACCAAGCCCGAGGGTCTCGGATTCCCAAGCTCCACAGGTGGCGCCAAGAGGGACGCATCCACAGTCGGGTCTCTTGCTGATCAACCATCAGTAAGATCCTCCGTTCGGATCGTATCTTGGTCCTACTTTTGTATGTGCAACAACAGTGGTTACAGCACTTCTACACCTGTCATCCACAGTAACCGTGTGTAGGTTGTAGTCCTGGCACTGGGCACTGTGTGCATAACAGTGTGTGGTGGTGCAGAGGCTCACAGAGTGATCGTGAGATCACTTGGATTCAGGTTGAGACACAAGATGGTTTGAAATTGGCCCTTAGGTGGCCGAAAGGTAGAAACAGTTGAGGAGTGACCAGGTGGGGGGCGAGCACCACAGGGGTTAGCCCTTTGGCCTGTCATGGGAAATCGTCTCACTCGGACTATTGCTAATCAACCGATAATCGGATAGTTCGATGTATCACAATATTCTAGGATATCCTTGTGGATATGTATAGCCACATGTCTAGCTTATGGTTAAGATTTAACCCGATGGGTGTGTACAATCATCCGATCACTCAATGCAATGAGCCGAAGACTATATCAGTAATAGTTACTGGGTTCCAATGGCTTGAGACTAATGTATGGTAGCTTATAGCAGTACCAATACTGACTACTGAACATTGAATATTCCAACATACGTTTCTAATGATCGACTCACCACCCACCCTTCTGCATTCCGGTGTCCCGGTCACACTACTCACGAGAGACTACTCACTCACCGGTTTCTGGAACCTGATGGTCGTCTCGTAAGTGTTCCCCAGCCTGTAGAAGAAGGTGATGCCGCTGGCTTGCATTTGCTCCTGGATGTGGTGCCAGTTAGCACTGACGAGGGGGATGCCCGCGATGAAGACGGTGTATACGGCGGCCGTAACGACCGCGTCCTTCCAGGCATCGCCCGAAAGCCTCTTCGTGAGGCTTCCCTGCATGATGCATGACGATGACATGTTTACATAGTTCATCAGTGATGACGCTGATTGATATCGTGGCCTTTGTTTTCTCTTCTTCGTTTGTCTTTATCTGCCGCTAGTGTAGCTCGCAAGGAAGAGTACAGGGTTTGTACACTGGTATGTTGATGTTTCTGGCTCACCCCTGGCCAGGCTTGCTTTGACTACTACAGCAAAAACGAGCACCGAGGGGCGTGGATGCGCGCGTGTGTGTTGCAGCCCAAAAAACATCACGACCAAAACCTACCGAGATGCTGTACATGAGTAACCGTAAGATATCGACTGCCTATGTGTATACTGTCGAGCTAGCTGTGTTGTTTCCCCGAGGCTCTGGTCTCACGCGGAGATTGTTACGAACAAGAGTCTCAAAGAGTCTCCACGGGCGGTCCTGAAAAGTGTGGCGTCCGGTTATGAAGCAAGTGAACATACCCGGCACGCTCCACAGCCCTCCGAAAAGCAAAAGTGGCACTACTTTTCCTTCGTCGCTTTTCTCTGGGTTGATATCACAGAGGAAATACAGTAGTGGTACGTGTTACCGTAACCTTGGAGGATCAAGTCACTTGCTCTTCGGGCAGGTATCCACACATGTACAACATCGCTTATTATTGTAGATACCACCCCCCCCCGCCCGACGGACCCGCCACCACAACAGCATGTAGGCAACGAGCTTTTGCTCTATTCACAAAATCCTGGGTGGCTTTCGAAAGGTCAAGCCGGAGACGCATCAGTCGGCTTTCGTAACTTCCCTCTCTCTCTCTACTTTGGAATGGGTCAAGGGGTGGTGGCGAAGGTGGAATCTCGAGCGGCCGCACACATTTTGATTTGTCCGCAATTGTGTACGTTGGTTGTCCTGTTCGGGGGCAGCGAGAGTATCGGAGGACAGGCTGTCGAGCCACGCAGCCTGAAATCTACAAGCGCTGCACAACGAGAGTGCCAGGCGGGCCACACGCGTTGAATGTGTATCTGTCGCTCGCGCAGCATCACAAACAGCTTGGCCGGTCTGTGCTGCAGAAGCGCCACGCTCGCTGGTGGGAATTATGCATGCTTCCGATGCATGCGGCAAAAAAAGGCAGAGGACACAACACTACATGCTGTATATGAACGATATAACACAACAGCAAACCACCTGACTCGAGCCTCACATGCATGCGGTTGCCCTCCAGCTTCATCAACGTATTGATGAACTCCATGTTCACGACACACGAGTGAGAACTGCGCGTACTGCTGTAGTACCGGCCGATGCCGTAGGATGCGTAGCCCGAATCTCACCGCAGACCAAAACTTGCTTTGTTTGCTGCGCTCTTGCAGGAGGAGTGCGCTGGTAGCTTTGTCTCGTGGAGGCCTCTTGTGCAAAGCTGGTCGGTGTGCGGTGCTCAGCAGAAAGAAAGACTTGCCTGACCACTTGCAAAGCGACCTGCTGCTGTTCTGCCCGAAGAGGAGGCACGCTTGGTTTGTTTGTGGTAGTTTGATGTGCAGCGGCAAGTTCGGTCTGCGATTATTGCAGCACGTGAAGAAAAGCAGGAACGGTTCGGGGATTCTTCAGAACCGAAGCAGACCACCATCGACCCACGCAAGGTTACCGTATATGACACAAGATAACACATCCCCTTGACCGATTTTCGAAGCTCGATTTCTCAACTGCAGGAACAGTCANTAGTCGAGCTTTGAAAATCGGTCCAGGGATTGTGTTATCTTGTGTCATATAATGTATTTACATAAATCAGGTGGACCCAACGGACCAACGGATACTCTCTCTGTGTATGCATATGCGTGCAGAGGTGCTGCTAGCAGAGATCAGAACGGGGTTTCGTGTGTGGCAATTAGTCGATGGCATCATGTGTAATGTCAACAGCCTGCCGACCGTAATAGGACGCTTTGCTTTTGTAAACTCACCTTGGTTTCGAGCTCAATGTAAACTTTCACGGGTGTGGGGTTGTTGATCCACACCCAAAGTCTAAACGAATCCGACTCATGTTGAAAAAAAAAATGGTCCCGTCACCACCGCTGTGTGCCACCGCCCGGTGCGAGCTG